TATGTATTCAACTAAAGAAAGTTGAGGAGGTCTCGTCCCTGAGGACAGGCAGAAAGGAGCCAGGGAGTATTTTGTGTAAAACTCTGTGAAAGAGTCAAGTTGTTAGAGTGTTAGAGTCAAGACTATATTTTTGTAATCATTTGGGAAATGCAAATGGAGGCAATGGGTAAGGCAGAAAACTCTTGGACCTCATGGATAACTTTCTTGGCTTAAGAAATTTCAGCCAAACTATTTGATTTTTTAATTTTTTATTTTTCACAAAGTCTTCCATTAATTACCAAAATTTCTAATTAAGAAAAATCATCTGAGGTAGGATAATTTTCTACTTAGTCAAATATCTGGCTTCATTATCCACTAACTTTGGGTCTTTGGGTCTTGGGCTAAGGGGGTAGGAAGTGGCAGGAGACTTTTTCTGAGTCTCAGTTTCTTTGTCAATAAATAAAGATAAATATAATAATGTTCTTAGTAGTGGGACTATGAGAGTGAAATGAATAAATAAACAGAAATCATTAAGAATATTTTTTTATCACAAAACAAGTCCTTAGTAAAATCTCAACTATATTCAGATTTGAGCTAGACAAAATTTTTTCTGTTTCTGACATGTATAAAAGGATGTATAAGGAGATGGAAGTGACTGAGACACTATGAAACTAAGATAGTTAAAATGGATTTAGGGAGGCCGAAAGATAATTTAAAGATTCTGTGTGTTACAAGATGTTGGTAGGGGGAATTACTTCAAACTAATTTAAAATCTTATCTAATTAAGTGGTAAATTCTCAAGGATAGGAAGTAGAAGAAAGATTTCCACATGCAAGGAGGGAGAAGAGAATAGGAACTATTGTTTAATAAATACAAAGTTTATTTGGGGATGATAAGAAAAAATGTAATAGTGATTATACTTTGAAGAGTATTGAAAAGTTACTTAATTCCAAAGAATGAGGCACTTCAAAATGGTTAAAATGGTAAATTCTGTCATATATATTTTAACACAACACGGAAATACCTACCTACTGTAGATCTCCGTGCCTCAGTTTCCAGGACCTATCGTGCATCTTTTAATTAGGGGATTTAGATAAATAAAAGAGCATTCCACCTCCATTTGTGTCCTTCCAAGAATTACCAAAAGGGTGGGGCTGTAGCCCATAGTTGAGAGCTATAATGAAGTCATCAGACAGAAACAATTATGCTGGACAAGACTGAGTGTTAAAAGTAGGTAAAGAGATATATCTGCAAGTCACTATGCCCAGAAGGAGAGAGAGAGAGAGAGAGAGAGAGAGAGAGAGAGAGAGAGAGAGAGAGAGAGAGAGAGAGAGAGAAATTGGGCATGGGAGAAAACTGGGGACACTGGTACTGGAAAATGTACACTGGAGAAGGAATGGGTGTTAGAACACTGTATGACTGAAACCTAATCATGAACAGCTTTGTAAGGGTCTATCTCACAGTGATTCAAGAAAATAATCTTAAAAATTTTTTAAAAAATTGAAAAAATAAAAATAAAAAATAGACAATAGCATACACACAGGTTGCCTGCCTCTACTTCATTCCAACTTGTTGATATGGGTCAATGCTACCTCGAATTAAATGTCTCTTGCATATTGTATGGTCCCATTCAATGATGAAATTACCTAGCTAAAAGATGTATTTGGTATCTGGTCATAGAATCACAATCTAAGGCAATGTCTGTACCAAACTCTTTAGATATCATTGTAAAATTGTAACCACTGAATTTATAAATTCTCTTTAAATGTCTATTCATTGTAGTCTTATTTTTAATCATCAAATACACTTTTCAAAATGTGTTTGCTAAACAAGCAGAATGTCCATCATCTGAGATTTTGTTAGAGATGGTCCCTAATGATTCTCCTCCAGACCTCTGATCTGGAATTTCTGGGACTGAGGTCTAGCACTCCTTTTTAACAAGCCCTTTAGATAATTCTGATCAACATTAAATCCGAGAAAAGCTTTCATCCATTTACTGCAGGCCAAGAGACATAAAGTCTTTGCCAAGAAAATGACACTTCATTCTCTTCCATGACATGGACTTAACAGCACTATATATTTCCATATCTTCATTATTTTTGATCAGAGATAGAGAGGTTGGTGAGCTATATGGAAAGAGATTGGCAGAAATCCTCATTAAAAATAATTAATTTAATATATGGCAGCTTTATTCTTGAATTTCTGAGAGTTCTCCATGCTTTATTCTTTAAGCATTGAACCGACAATATTCCCACCAGCAGTTGATGATAGTTCCTTTTTCAACACATTCCTGCCAACACAGATTGTTTCTAGATTTTTTTTTCGATATGCACTATTCTCACCAGTATGAAAAATCTCACTGTCATCTGATTTGGTACAGACATGCAGGCAAAGACTAAAATGCAGTAAGCCAGTGCCCACTCAGGATCCAAGTGTGCAATTACCAAACAGGGCTGGACAGGATGGAGTAGGACTCAGTGATGCAAAGAAGAGTAGATGGCCAGTTATTTCCACAATTTAAAGGGGACTAGTTACTGGGGTGGGCTAAACCTTTAGTGAATCCCATACTTTTTCAGTTGGTATGAAGGTGTGAGTTGGTGGTTAATATAAGCGGTCACATGTTTCTGTGGAAGGAGTTCCAAAATTATTTCAGGGTGAGGGCTTTGGGGCCTTTCATTCATGTGAAGCCAGCAGGAAGGCTGTAATGTGGACTCTCTACCAGTTTTCATGTGAATCAAACCTGGGGCTGAAAGGGCCTGAACCCAATGTGTACTGGGAACTTTCCAACCTCCCAAGATGGAAGCCCTTGGAGAGCCTCTTCTGTGGCCACTGTCCACCAACTCTCTCTTCAACCAGGAGTCCAAACAGGGCTAGGATCCAAGATGACTCAAATAAGGTTTGATATATTGCAATCCAAAGGGTTAAAATATTTCTACTAAAATCTGAGTTTCAAAATCTTTTTCCCATGGAAGGAAACAAGGTCTGGGCAGATGTAACAAAAGAGGGTAAATGAGTCAGAGCAAAGTTTCCATTCTTATAATTACCCAAAGATGCAAGAAACCTACACCACTCAAGAGAAGAAAGAAAGACCAGATACCATGAGAAGGCTGTTCCTTCTCAGATATTCTCAGATACCATGAGAAGGAACAGCCTTCTCATGTCATCCAAAGCAAAGAGTATCCTGAATAGGGTGATCACATAGCCCAAATAAGTTTTCAGACAGTTGAGTTGATTCCATATTTTGGCTATTAGAAATATTGTTGGGGGGCTGGAGCAATAGCACAGCGGGTAAGGCATTTGCCTTGCATGTGGCCAACATGGTCGACCTGGGTTCGATTCCTCCACCTCTCTTGGAGAGCCTGGCAAGCTACCGAGAGTATCTCACCCTCATAGCAAAGCCTAGCAAGCTCCCCGTGACGTATTCAATATGCCAAAAACAGTAACAACAAGTCTCACAATTTGATGTGAGACGTTACTGGGCACGCTCGAGCAAATCAATGAACAACGGGAGGACAGTGCTGCAGAAATATTGTTGCAATAAATGCAGGTATTTATATATCTTTCCAAGTAAATGTTTTTTTTTTGTTACTGAGATGTAAGTTAAGGAGAGGAATCCCTTGCTCTTGATCATGTGGTAATTATATTTCTTATTTTTAAGATATTTTCATAAGTTTAATAAAGGCTGAATCACACAACAATATCACCAAAAGTCAATAAGAATTTTCTTTTCATCAAACATTCCCACTAACACAAGTTATTTCTAATCTTTTTGAAAGTAGGTGACTGTCACTAGTGTGAGTTATATATCACTGTCATTTTGATTTGCTTTTTTCTGATAATAAATGATTATGAAATTTTATCATATTATATTTGACCATATGCATGCCTATGAAGGAGTATTTGTTCAGCTCTTTAGTTCAATTTTAAGTGATTTTTTGTTGTTAAATATTGTGAATATCTTATACATTTTGAAAAGCAGTTTTTTGTCAGGTGTATGGTATGTGAATATTACCCTACATTCAGTAAGGTGTCTTGGTTATTCAGTCATTTTATTTTAAGAGGAAACACATTTTAGATTGACATAGATCCATTTATTTATTTTTGCTTTAGTTTTCTTTACCAACATTGATCATTGAAGACAATTTTGAATTAAATATAATAAAAAAGTCTGCTTATATTTTCCCAGATATATTTTACATGTTAGGTCTAATATTGAGGTCTTTAATCTACTTTGAGTTAGTTTTTGAGTATGATGTGAGGAGTGCTTCAGTTTCATTCTTTAGCATGTGGTTAACCAGTTTTCTTAGAACAATTTACAAAAAATGTTTCCATTGATCCATTTAATATGCCTACATCTTTTGTTATAAATTAACTGTCCATACATACAATGATTTACTTCTGAACTGTTAATTCTATTTCAGTTATCTGAGGTTGGCTTTGATGTCAATACAATACTGCTTTGATTACTATGGGTTTAAAGTGTAGTTTAGTATTAGGGACTGCAATATATTATCCCACCTTATTTTCCACTCATAGCACAGCGGTAGGGCGTTTGCCTTGCACGCAGCCAACATGGTCGACCTGAGTTCGATTCCTCCGCCCCTCTCGGAGAGCCTGGCAAGCTACCGAGAGTATTCGATATGCCAGACACAGTAACAACAAAGTCTCCAATGGAGACGTTACTGGGCCCGCTCGAGCAAATCGATGATCAACGGGAGGGCCTTTACTTTACTTACTTACTTTACTATTTTCCACTCATATTTGCTTTATTTGGAAAGTATGTGATTTTTATATGATTTTTAAAAAAATTTGTTTCATGTGCTTAAAGAATTTCTTTGGAATTTGGATAGGAATTTGGATAGGAATTGTAGGGATCAATGTATTTTTTGGATAACCTGAAAAATTTAACCCATTCATTTGTTTATCAAAAGATAGATAATGAATTATAAATAGATAAATTAGAAACAAAAATTGCATTAGGATTAATCTGAAGTGTTAGAGATTAATAACTTTAAGAGCTTGTGCTCGCTTCAGCAGTACATACACTAAAATTGGAACAATACAGAGAAGATTAGGATGGACCCTGCACAAGGATGACACGCAAATTCATGAAGCATTCCATATTTTTATATACAAGACAACAGTAGAATTGTACAAGAAAAAACCTCCAACCCCATCAAAAAATGGGGAGAAGAAATGAACAGAAGTTTCCTCAAAAAAGAAATACAAATGGCCAAAAGGCACATGAAAAAATTCTCCACATCACTAGCCATCAGGGAGATGCAAATCAAAACAACAATGAGATATCATCTCACACCACAGAGATTGGCACACTTTGAAAAGAACAAAAGCAACTATTGCTGGTGTTGATGTGGGGGAAAAGGGACACTCTTTCACTGTTGGTGGGAATGCCCACTAGTCCAGCCTTTCTGGAAAACAATTTGGACAGTCCTTCAAAAACTAGAAATTGAGCTTCCTTGTGACACTGCAATACCACTTCTGGGAATATATCCTGAGGATGCAAAAAAGCACAGTAGAAGTGACATCTGTATCTATATGTTCATTGCAGCACTGTTCACAGTAGCCAAAATCTGGAAACAATGCAAGTGCCCTAGAACAGATGACTGGTTAAAGAAACTTTGATACATCTACGCAATGAAATACAATGCAGCTGTCAGAAGAGATGAAGTCATGAACGTTGCTTATAATTGGATAGACATGGAGAGTATCATGCTAAGTGAAATGAGTCAGAAAGAGAGGGACAAACATAGAAGGACTGCACTCATTTGTGGAGTATGAAACAACATAACATGACGCTGACACCTAAGGATAGTAGATACACAGGACAGATAGATTGCTGCATAGCTGGAAGTCTGCCTCATGAGCAAAGGGGAGAAGCAGCTGGAATAGAGAAGGGATCACTAAGAAATATGTGTCAAGAGCAAGTCCCATCAATCCTAATTCAATAGGTAAATGTTTTATTTTCCTTAACAAAGGAGAAAGTTGGCTGATTCCAGTAGGCATTTTTATTTAATTAGCAATATAGTTGCATTAGTTTTTAAAGCCAAATTCAGTTACAACAATATGCATAGAAAAAGAACCACAAAACTCATTTTCTATGGAGAGGAAACTTTTTGCCATTACCAACATCAGTCTCATTAGCCAAAATTGTACCACCACATGTCCATGTACAAGCTTAAGGGTTAGGGAATTGGAGACTAATTACTGATCTAACTTAGAATTTATTCAGTCTGAGATTTCTGTAAATTACTAGGAATTATAGAAGAATCACGTGGCTTTGCAGAGAGGAGATGATAGTGGGGGTTGGGAAATAGAAGAGAATGGATTTTGGGTACTCTGTACTTAAGTTTGAACTCATTTTTAACTTATTTCTGATACTTAATATTTACACGGTCTTGTCACTGTCACTGTCCTCCCATTGTTCATCGATTTGCTCGAGCAGACCCAGTAACGTCTCCATTGTGACAATTGTGACTGTGTTTGGCATATTGAATATGTCACGGGTAGCTTGCTAGGCTTTGCCGTGAGGTGAGATACTCTCGGTAGCTTGCCAGGCACTCCGAGAGGGGTGGAGGAATAGAACTCGGGTCCTAAGCAAGTCAATATTTTTTTGGACTCAAATTTATTAACTTTATGGTAAAAATATTGTGAGTATATTCACAAGATTTTAAAAGAATTCTATACTATCCACATGTGCAAGTTAAATAATATACTACTTTGAAAATAATTGAGTACCAAAAAAGTAATTAAATTAATATTCATATAATTTTTATGAACGATCATTTAAGCATATCTTTTTAAACATAGGAAATGATTTTTTTTTGCATTTTATTTACCCTGAATGACATAAATAGTGAAATCTTATACATGAAGGTCTTTTGTGTTTCAAAAGATTTGAACAAAGTTTCTTCCCTTTTTATAAATGGAAAGTTTTTGAAACTTTGTCAAAAGTAACACACCACAGATGGACAGAATATACAAAAATCAACCGAAATGTACTGCTACTTTTTCTTAGTCTGGTTTTCACATTTTGTCTACAGAGTGAGAACAGCCTACAAACATAGCACTCCAGACAGCCACCCCTCCCTACAATTCACACCATGAAAAATGAAATTCATAAAAATCATAATTTGCTTTTAAAGGATTCACTGAACTCAAGCAATGTCTTAGCAATATCCCTCAAATATTTGCCATATAGAAATAATTTAAGATATACATTTATAAATCCTCCTACTTATAAATCCTTCTCATCCCCAATAATCAAATAAGTATCCCCCTCCTGTCATCCTCCCAGTAACCAGGATAGCTTAGACAAAAACAGGTATATACAAAGAAATTATTTTCTTTGCTGTTTTGAGTCACACCCGGAAATGCACAGGGGTTACTCCTGGCTCTGCACTCAGGAGTTACTCCTGGTGGTGCTCAGGGGACCATATGGGATGCTAGGAATCGATCCCTGGTCGGCCGCGTGCAAGGCAAATGCCCTACCCGCTGTACTATCTCTCCAGCCCCATATACAAGGAACTTTGAAACTATGGGCCGAACCACAGAATTCTAGTAGAAGTGATAGATTAAAGACTCTAACTTCCAGAAGTTGTAGAGACAGTACAGAGGGTAGGGTCTTTGCTGGCACACAACATACTTGGGTTTGATTATTAGCCAACACCCCATTTGGTCCCCCAAATTGGCCAGGAGTGATCCCTTAGTGTAGAGCCAGGAGTAAGCACTGACACAGACAGATGTGGTGCCCAAACCAAAAATTATTAGCACATCAGGTAGGGCGTTTGCCTTGCACGTGGCTGACCCAGGTTTGATTCCGCCGCCCCTCTCGGAGAGCCCAGCAAGCTATCGACAGTATCTCGCCTGCGTTGCAAAGCCTGGCAAGCTACCCGTGATGTGTCTGATAAGCCAAAAACAGTAACAACAAGTCTCACAATTTGTTGTGAGACGTTACTGGTGCCCGCTTGAGCGAATGATGAACATTAGGAGGACAGTGCTACAGTGATACCTTTCATATCAAAAAACAATTATTATAGAAAAACATCTTGGCCCTAGGTTTATCATTAGTAGGAGTAAAGCCAAATTAAGAATACTACTACTTGGGGGGAGGGATAGGAGAGCGGGTAGGGCATTTGCCTTGCATGTGGCCGACCCAGGTTCGATTCCCAGCATTCCCATATGTTCCCCAGAGCACTGCCAGGAGTAATTCCTGAGAGAAGACCAGGAGTAACCCCCATGCATCGCCAGTATGATCAAAAAAGGCAAAAAAAAAAAAAAGAATCCTACTACTTGGATGCTAGTCCTATGTTCTTTTTTTTTTTTTTTTTAATTTGAGGGGGAGGCATATGCACCAGTGCTCAAGGGCTATTCCTTACTCTGTGTTCAGGAGTGCCCCCTGGCAGTGTTCAGGGGACCATATGTGCTGCTAGAGATTCACACCAGTCCAGGCTTCCACAACCACATGCAAGGCAAATACTTATATCCTATACTATCTTTGAGATGCTAGTTGGACACAATTATTGTTTTTATGAATCATTACTATTCTTCATTCCATATTAATTCTTATTCTTCAATAATCTTGATGTTGGTAAATTATCTCTACTGAAAAGTAGCATTTGCTACATTTTGATACTCCATTTTCTAGAGACATCCTCCTGTTTCTAAATCCATTCTTTCTAAATCTCTTTAATAGATACATGCATATCTTTAAATATGTGTTCCTCTATAACTACCCTTAATTTTCTTTGTTACAAGTGTTTTTATTTTATTTATTATATCAAAGAGCTCTGATTTAAAAAGTCATTGGTAATTGATTTTAGGTATATAATATTTGTTCTTAATTTTCTTCCATTTCACAATTATTATTTAATACTCTTTCCTGACTCTAGTCAATAAATTAACAATACAGGTTACAATTTATATTGAGATAAGCAACCAGTTGCTTTGAAAACCTTAGTGCTAGCAAGTGAAAAAAAATTTTCAAAGTAAAAAATTAATTTGTGTATTATAGAGGCTGGAGCAATAGCACAGTGGGTAGGGCATTTGCTTTGCACACGGTCGACCCGGGTTCAATTCCTCTGTCCTCTCAGAGAACCTGTCAAGCTCCCAGTGGTGTATGTGATATGCCAAAGACAATAACAACAAGTCTCACAATGAAGATGTTGCTGGTGCCCGCTCCAGCAAATTGATGAACAATGGGAGTATAGTGCTACATTATAGAGACTTCATCTCCCCACCTCTGGAACAAATAGTTCTTTTGTAATATGAAAAATATTCTGATAATATCTTTCAGTAACAGAAAACTAAAATGAAGACCCTAATCTGTTACAAAGGGCATGACCTGCCATAGGGGCAGAGTGGGATGGGGGGTACAGTAGGTGGGAGGGATACTGGGATCAGTGGTGGTGGAGAATGGGCACGGGTGGAGGGATGGGTAACTCGATCATTGTATAACTAAAACCCAAGCACAAAAATTTATAAGTCTACAACTGTACCTCATGGTGTTTCACTAATAAAAATTTTTAAAAAAAGAAAAATTTAACTCAAAAAAATAGAATTAAATTGAATGCAAAAGGACTACATCTCTTAATAGTAACGAACATGCTTTTCCCATAATGAGTACAGCAGTATCACTACAGGTTATGTGTTCTCCAGAAAAAATAAATGTTTCCCAAAATATAAATTTACATCACCTTGTCTTTGAACATACCCTTTTCTTCCTCTTAGCCTGATTACTTGAAATTCTGAACTCAGGATATGAAAATATGTTTAAAGTCTCTACAAGAGAATGGCTACTGGCTTCCTTAGAAAGTTCTTCAAACTTAGTGTGTGCTAGAGAACCTTTATGAAACGAATTGAGTTGTGGCTTGTGACAGGATATTTTAGAAAAGACAGTAACAGTTAAAGTTGATTGGAGCTCCATTTGGGGAATATGTAGAGACTGGGATTCTGATTGAAAGCAATATGTTTTTACAGAATGCTGTATTTGAGCTGGAGCGATAGCACAGCGGTAGGGCGTTTGCCTTGCACGCAGCCAATATGGCCGATCCGAGTTCGATTCCTCCGCCCCTCTTGGAGAGCCCGGCAAGCTACCGAGAGATCTCACCC